TTCTGCATTTTTATGGAGATTAACTGTAATGTCAAAATAAGGGCATGAAAGCAGAATTAATATAAACCAATATTTAGAAGCTGCATTGAGCTTGAAATTCACGTTTACCAAATTAGCAAATTCAGTAATGTGAAATGGAAGTCACATGAGGAGTAAGATTGGTAACTGAACACTATTTCTAATAAATACTAACAGTTCATTGGTGAGTTGTTTCCTTCTGTGTTATTTTATGTTTTTGATGGTGGTTGTCAGTTGCTATTCATGTCCCTTTTGGGATGCCTTTTAACTTTTCAGCAACAAATAAGGACTATTATTCAGAATATATAATATACTAATCATAAAATATAGAAGGAAATTTAAAATGTTAAATTAACAATAAGGCCAACAGCATAAGACTCCCCTCTGGCAGAAAGAAGCAGGAATCAGTAGACCAAATACTCAGCTAAACCTATGAAGTTATGGCTACAGATAACGAGCTATGGTGAATAGCACTGGTGCACAGCAAAATGTTATGTGCAGTTACAGTCCAAAACAGTACAGTCTATAAAGTTCAAAAGTTATTATCTGTGCTGAGGCTTGCTTAAACTATCTATCATTAAATTAAAACTGAGGGGCAGGAGAATTTTAACATGAAGCACTGTCCTTGAGCAATATACTATTTTTATTCCTCTGGACCCAATGTGGATCCAGCAGTGTTTTTAGTTTGTAAAGATAATAGATTGCTTTGAAATATCCTGTCTGCTGGGAGAAAAAGGAAGGACCCCTGTTTCTATATGCAAAGCTGAAAAAAAATCCCACTTGCTTAAAAAACTACCATCAGAGTACATGAAAATAATTTTTCAAATTCAGATTGGTTGAGGAAAACATTACCTGAAATTTTCTGGGGTAGGGGGGAGACAGAATGATTTGGATCATTTGGATTTGGATAATTTCCAAATTAATTAATTTTGAAACTTGCCTATCTCTACTGAATTATAAAGATTAAATTCTGTGGAAGAATATTTTTTGCCTGAGGGTTAGCTTCATGTTATACCCATCCCTTCCTTATATGTTGCAAGGCTTCATTTAAGAAAGAACTCAGTCTTCTTCACTGTTTGCTAGAAAGGTGAGGAATTTACAGTTTCTCCTTAGTCTTGCATTTAATATTTGGAAAACCTGCAGAAAGATAATAGTGACTTTGGATTCCCGTTTTTACTGGAAGACTTATCCAAATATGGTGAATATAGCATATATCACTGTGTTTATAGTTCAGCGGTAACTATTTAACAGAATAATATATACAGGGCCCATTGTTCATCTAAGGTTTAACTCTATTACATGACCCCAGAGTGACCATAATGTTTTATTAGCATTAATCATAATTTGAAACTGTGGCTAGATGTTTTAAATTCTGGTTTATGCTGCTTTGGGTTAGGCAATGTATTAAGTCTTAAGCAAGCCACTGAGTGTCTTGAAAAAGTCATGAAAAAATTGTATATGACAGCTGGTAAGAGGGTAGTGTATTAAGTCTTAGTAGCAACCTAGAATGGCTTAGTATGTATGGGTTCACTGCATTACTACACACACACACACACACTGTATACACTGTATTACTACAGGCCTGTTTCTGAAGTTTTGTCTGATAAGTTCCAAGCAATGTATAAATCTAACTCTAGCAATGGTTTGCCATTTGATCTGAAGGAGCTCGTAGCCCAAGCTAATGGTATTTTCAATTACCCAAGGGTTTTAGGTTGCCTGGTAAAAATACCTTCTGAAAAGGTCTGACTGATACAAGGCAGCTTTATACTAAATGATGCTCCAAGGAAGTTAGTTCATGGATATGACTATGGTTCTGTATGAAAATCTTTGAAGTTTTTAAGTGGAGTGGTTTTCACTTAAAAAACAAAAAGAGCCAAATTAAACAGAAATAAAATACCTCGTTCATTTCAAGGCCAAAAACAAAAACAATCCCTTTAGCTGAATCTGAAGGCAGGTGCATGCAATGGTTTTTCTAAATATTAAGTTGAATACAAAGCAATATATCTCCATCTTTTTTCACGAAAGTATGTATAGCACAGCTGTTAGCTATACACGATAGGAGCTACTAGACAAACTTCTTAAGGTTAATGGAACTACTTCATTAAATATTGTACTGTTGTGAAACATTGATGACGTTTATGTAGTGTTGCTGGATTTTCTAAATATCACCATTAGAAGCTTATGCTTCACAAAAGCTACATTCAGCTGCTTAAGACAAGGGTAAATGTATCTTTTAACTATGAACACTGCCAGACTGAATAGGATAAGAGAGGAAGCACGTATGGATGGAAACTCAGGCTGATACATTTCACTGTTTCCAAGTCATTGAGCAATTTTTTTTTTTTGTTATAGTCTCGTATATCTGTGTGTACGTGCGTGCGTGTGTGTGTGTGAATATGAGTGTGTATATGTATATACAAATTTGAGCAACAAACAAGTTAGCTATAGAAAGACAAATCAGTCTATTCATGCAACTTTTCACTTTGTTCATATATCTACCATTTTGATTCACATTAATCTGTAAATTACAAAAAAAACGACCCCACATACCATCTCACTGTTCATATGCAAAACATACTTATAAATATGCATCATAAAGATATCTTCTCTAAAAATATGCATTTTATTATATCTATAGTATCTATTGTCTGTCTGTCTGTCTGTCTGTCTGTCTGTCTGTCTCTGTCTGTCTGTCTATCTATCTATCTATCTATCTATCTATCTATCTATCTATCTATCTATCTATCTATCTATCAACTTTTCTCTTAGTACCTGGACTGTACTTTATAAAATACATTTTGCCTACTTCTAAAGTGAAGTAAGTAAGGGCCTTACTTTAATTCCAGTGAGAATGTATTCCTATCTGTCTGTCTGTCTGTCTGTCTGCCTGCCTGCCTGCCTACATCTATCTAATTTAGTCACTCAAAGGGCGACTCTGGGTGGATTACAATAAACCAATATAAGTCTTACTGATACAGTATGGCAAAATATGATTTGGTTTTGGCTAATTATGCCTTTCTTTCTTGGGGTTGGGCCAACAAATCAAGCTCTTTCCAAAACAACACATCATGGCCATATTCCAAAAGTACAAAATGATGTTTTGGAAGGATCATTCAACTGAGGTGAAGGATAGGAGGATAGTCAGAAAGTAGATGGCTCACAAGTAGGAATGCTGTTTATGATAATAAAGATAGAGTTTAATTAACAACCACTGCAGTGGGAATCCTACTTTTTATCTACTTATTCCTGAAGGAAATTATTTATGAATTGTGTTGTACCAGTTTCTTTTCTAATGTTAAAATCAAGAATGCTGGGCCATATTCCCTTAATAAAACTGCCCCACTCCCCTTTATTCTTCTGGGTTTGCCCATTATTTTTTCACATGCAAACTGCAATTCCAGAATGCCAAAATTGTAGTGGCTGGTTACTGCTGTTAAATAATCAATTGCATAAATATCTAGTTATAACGGTCAGGATCAAGTTGTTTGATGCAGACTAGTGTTGAAACACTGAATATAACACTGTGAAAGCTTCTAAAACAATTATTCTCAGATTTATGAGCTTATAATGTGCTCTGCCACTGAAAATGAAAAGGTGATGAGTTGGAGGAGGAAGAAAAAAGTAACAAAAACAAATCATGAGTATCAAGAAAAAAATTAGAAAACAAACATAGAAAGAATCAAGGATGCAGTACAGCTGTTGAGTGTGCCCCTGTGTTCAATGTAAGCAATTTATGTTACTAGGGATCAGAGAATCATATCTAAACTCAGAAATGGTAAGAGAGAATGATTGTTGCTATACAGACTATATTCTTAACTACTTTGGGTACTCAAAGAACCATAAGAAAAATATATTTTCTCATGTGAAATTAGGTCTAGAGGGAGCCATGCTATGGCTGGATATAATTAAACATGTTAATATCTTTTATTTTCAGCAACATCTAATGACATTCAGTTATAAACGTGGAAGAAATATAGAAATAAGGAGTATTTATCCAAGCTATGTAGCATCGGTTTTTCACAATTAAAATGATATTATGTCCTTTAGAATTGAAAATATCTTTTTTAGCTATAGAGTTAAAAGATTGCTTAATCACAATTGCTATTTCTCTGGCAAATGCACATATGATATTTATATAAGTGTCAAATTTACACTTAGATAAATCTGATTGATCCATTTTATGGCCAAAACATGTTTTTTATCAGGGAGAATATGATTTTTCTGCAGAAAAAAAAAAACCCTGACAACACTCTAAAATAACCTCTTTCAAACTTCATCATGTTAAATTTATTCAATATGTTCTCCTTTTTAATATATGTATAATGTTATTACAAATGTAATAGATTAAAAATGATTTCTTCCTAGAAATAAAGAAGCTCATATAAAAGTGATAGCTCAATAGATCCCGCTCCTAACCATGGTTGTTGTGACACATCTCTGTATTAGCAAAGGAAGGATGTTGGCATGTTTTTTAGACTCTACTCAACAGGAAATGCACCACATGCTGTCAGTGTTTCCAGACACTAACCTGTCCTATAGTGTAGGACATCTGCCCATAAAACAAGATGCAAAGTACACAAATTTGGCCAAATTAGTTTGATATCTTAACACAGAAAAAATTAATGTTCCTGGCAGCAAAAATCCAGTCATAATGCATTAATTTACTAACAGTTTGTTGAACTTCCATGACAGCCAGTTTAATGTGAATGCTACATTCTGTCTAATGTTAAGCTCATTATACTGAAAAATCTTTTACAAGATTTGTACTGTATAATGAAAACATAGCCGACTTTTAACAGCAAGCAATCTTCACAATTTCATTTATTTAATTATTTTGTTGCCCATGATGATAATAAAGGGCAACTCAAATATTCAGTATCAACCAGTATCATTCAAAGGAATGGAACTCTCATGGCTTCAAAACAAGCTAAGTTAATTACCTAATCATCTCCAAAAAATTTAACATTATGATTAATACTTACTTGATGTAGTAGGGCACTTTGTTTGGTGATATGGCCCTTTCCCATGGGCCCTGGACAGAAGCTGTTAATTAAAAAAACACAAAAATGGAACATAAAATCAAATCACAAATGTATTGAAATCAGGTTCAAAGTAAAGATAATGTTAATCTTTAGGATTACAATGTTAGTTCACTACTTTGATGTGGTCTCTTTGCTCAGTTGTCCATGAAGACAGGAAGGTTTAACCTGCATTCTCTTTTAATCTTAGTGAAACTGAATTTATTCACTTGCAAAGATAAATGCAAAGCCTCTTCAGCTATTAAATAATAATAATAATAATAATAATAATAATAATAATAATAATAATAATAGATAGTGGACATTGCAATACCTGAAGACAGCAGAACAGAAGAGAAAGAACTGGAGAAAATCAGAAAATACAAAGACCTGCAAATAGAAATTGAACGACTATGGCAAAAGAAAGCAAAGATAGTACCAATAGTAATTGGCGCCTTGGGTGCAATCCCAAAACATCTGGAACACCACTTGAAGACCATCGGCACTGACAAAATCACCATCAGCCAATTGCAAAAGGCAGCTTTACTTGGAACAGCTACTTGCAATGATACCTTTAACACCATCAAACAACAACATCTGCCTATCTCAGGTCCTTGGGAAG